ATATGATGCCTACAACGAGGTTCATATATAGACTAGACTTTGCTTCAAATAGCTTTGCTACACTACTTACGTTTAACCGATTTCAATGAAATTTTGTGGGTGTGTATTGTTGGTTCCAACTTAAAAGTTAGGATAGTTGTGAACCCCAGAAAAAAATATTTTTTATTTAACCGATTTCAATAAATTTTTGTGGGTATGTATTGTTGGTTCCAACTTAAAAGATAGGATGGTTTTGAACCCGAGAAGAAATATTTTTTTTTTCATCGACATTTTTTCTATGCTTCTCACAACGTTCTTAAAAATCCCGTGTCGTGTTGGTTCCAACTTAAAAGATAGGATAGTTTTGCCTATGAAATGGCCACCCTTGATCTAGAGTCTTCTAATTGTATCTCCTTAATATGAAGCCTACAACGAGGTTCATATCTAGACTAGGCTGATATCTAGAATTTGCCATAAATAGCTTCGCTACATGGTGGTCTGGACATACAACATTGCAACTTGAGAAAAGCATTGTAAAAAGCGTGGTAAAAAGCTGTTAAGTGGAGATCACACGATTTGTACATTTGTACGGATTTGTACATTTTGGCAGTGAAAAGGTGGTGTTGTTTAGAAACTTGAGTTCAGCTCAATAAAAGAATTTCCGAACAACACCACTCTGTACCTGCCAAAATGAACAAATCGAGTGATCCCTGCTTAAGATGAAGACAAACATATGGAGCTGCCTAAACGTCAAAATTTAAAGCTAACATAAGTGCCTAGCATACATACATATCGTCGATGTTTTGGCAAAACTGCCCATCGACCAGTTGCAAAATCGCCTAAATAGCCATAGACAACATTTTGCTTGCATAGTCTTCTGTTCTCTTTCACTGCAAGTTGAATTATTTTAATATCTATTGCAAAATTTTGTACAGACAAGACAGAAAAGTAGAAAATAAATTAAATAAAATAAAATTTTTTAATATACAAAGCTTAAACGCAAAAATTAGAAAATAATATTTCTTAGTCCCATAGAATTTGTATAGATAACTTTTGATTTTGAAATTTTAGCAGAATATAATGACTTCTTACCATTTATGAGATTGAAAATGCAAAGCGTTGGGCGCATGTCATAGACCTGAATTGATATGAATAGTAATATATGTATGTATGAATGTGGATATATGAATAACGACCGCTTAAAATCGATCTCAAATTTGTACTTTCTCTGCAGAAATTTTATGTCTATGGTATGTAGTTTGACTATTGTCAAAAAAATCTAATGCTTTGTATTGCATGCGCCCCACGTTTTTCGTTTTCAATCAATGGTTTATAATGACTTTTGCTAAAATTACAAAATCAACAACGGGCCCTTAGCTTAGATGAAAATGCTTCAGTTTAAGATAAAATAAAAACAACAACAAAATAAAAGAAAATAAAATCTTTATAAGAGCTGTTTTCATTATAAAGGTACCGGTAAGTACCGCGCGGTATAACTCCGTATGGCAAGTTCGCTCATGTATGGATATACATATATACATTTGTAGGTAGTTAACTTACATACATACATACCCAGTAGAAATTCTGTGTGTGTGTATAAATTTCAAAATTATTTGCAAGAATCTCCACATACACAACAAACCTACAACCCAAATGTACTTTTTTAAATACGAAGTAAATCAGTACAAATTGCTAGTAATTTTCATTAGAGTTTGAGTAACTCCTTTCACTATTTGGCTTTTAGTAACATTAACGAAAGCTTAACTTATTTTATTTTATTAATTTTAGTGAAGTCTTTAAAAAAATTTCTTGCTAAAAAATCTTTTGTTACACTACTTTATTTTATTCTTTTGTTTGTACATGTTAAATAAAAGCTTGATTTAAAAAAAATATTTTTTTATATTATTTTATTTTGTATGTAAAAAGGCGTTCGGCGCCTAAGGAATTTTGTACAAAATTTTCATGTTGTATGCACATTGAAATACACCGCTCGAAGGAACTAAATACTACTCGTATAAAAACACTATTTTACGAAATGAAAATTACATTTTTAAAAGGGTTTTTTTTTGCATAATTTGGGCCACTGAACATTTCAAAAAAAAGCGTAACTCTGAAAAAACATAGGTAACACGTTTTTCGATCGAAAGCATTTATTACAGTTAAATTAGGGTCGAATACTGGTAATCTGACGATTTTTTCCGCAGTAGAAATTTTTTTTCAATACTACAACAATACTACTTTGTTATAACACATCAAAACCTTTAACGCCAATATCTCAGAAAGCAGTTTTAACAGAAGCGCCCTTATTGCATCTAACTCCTCAATTATTGGAGATAAAACAAAGACTAGTTGATTTTCCTGTGTGTTTTTTAAATATTTTAAACAGAATTTTAAAAAAAGCAAACACTTTTTTTTGCTAATTTTTACATTCGTAAGTTACTTTATTCTGGGATCCCACAGACGTATGCAAGAACTAGGTGGCTGTGTGAAACTTACGTTAGTATTCTTAAGTGGTGGTCAAACCCCAGGAAGGTTTTGCTCCCGCGCATCGCAATATTTTCTACACAGAGTTAAAGTCCCTCTTTTTGGTAAAAATTACTATTATTTTGCATTACATTCTGTTCTCCTTAGAAAAATTTGGCGCTTAAAATATTAGTGGAAATGTTAACCATTTATAAGCCAGTTTTCAAACAGTGTGTCAAAAAGGCCCGTTCTGGTGGGAGTTGATGGGTTATACTTTTGGAAAAAAGTAGGCCAACCTTATTTTCAATATATAACCCGCAAAAAATCGTAAGAACTCCGTCATTTAACATAACGGTTGATAAGCTTATTGCAAAAATTTATTGATAGCGACATAAATTACCCCAATAACGTAACCTTTACATTTTTTTATTTCTTTAAATTGAAATAGTACATACTGATTTGTTAAGTACATAGAGATGTATGTATATTAGAGTGCCCATCGAAAATCATTTTTTTGTACGTTAGCACTACATATTTTCAAATTGTGGAAGTTATCGATGGACAAAATTAAAAAAATTCATTGAAATTTAAGCAAAAATAGTCATTCAAAAACTCATGAATCTAGAAAATCGTATTTTCTGACCTAAATCGACAGGCCGCGACCTCTAAATGGCCTTTAAAAATTCTATAAAAATAGGCAATTATATTTCTCATAAAAACGAACAAAATTAGGGGGTAGGATCTTTAAATTGTCAAAAAAAGCATTTTCGATGGGAAACCTAATGTATATACTACAGTATATTTTGCTTTGCTGCCTTTATGCTGAAGTGCACATTTAAGATACCTACCCTAAAATGCGCACTAGCGGCACTATTTTTAACATTTATAAGGAAACTCCTCCGATAGATGCATTCAACATACCTGCACATAGGCGATACATGCCTTAAAAACTGTGCTACTAACTATCAAAGAAAGTATTAGGTTTACCTGCACTGGCCCTACAATTACCTAATTTTACAAGCTTTTATTTATTTTGCTCATCTCGCAGAACAATGAAAATGGCTATCAATTCATGTAGTTATATAGATAATTAGATACCATTCGGTAAAAATTTCGCTTGCAGTAATTTCCACGTGGTAAGTGCTCCTCCATTATATGGTTTCATAGGGATTCGGATACCTTCCTCATTGAAGTAATAAAGAAAATTCGCTTAAGTGCTTTTTTCGGTTAAGTGCACAAGTTTTTCGTGCAAAGAAGGATGGGCAGCTAAGCAAAATATACTGTATATAGACTTTCTTCTGTTCGCCCAATCATCAGCAGCAGTCACTCAACATTTGAATTCAATGAATGAATTAAATAAAATTATAATCTGATGACATGATAAGATTAGAAGCCTCATGGCTCTTTGGAATCTACCTTATGGGCAGTAGCGCCGGCGTTTCCAGAATACCTTCATGCTCAGGAACGTAGCAATGATTTGATCGATAAAACCAGAGACGAAAGCGAATAAATGGAACAATATTCATTTCTCTTATGTTCCGCTGAGGCGCTCCCTAACGCAATGAACGTAGCAATGCTTTGCTCAGTGTAAAAATTTTTAAATCTTTCGACGCAAATATTTAGAAAATGGTTCAATGAATCTTAAATCTGAAAAGTTTGTGCAAAGTCTCAGATCGAGCACTTTAATTTGATGTATAATCTGGCTCTGTACGATTTGTAGATCGTAATAATGAAATTTTTGATGCTGTTTTTTAACTTTTTTCAAATAATGGTGTAAGAAAAACTTGAATAACTGAACCTAAACTCTTCCGATTTAGACTTTTGAGGTATAATTGGTATTTTCACACCCATTTTATTTCTTTGCTAATAAGCTCATTCAAAGGATTAAAGAGAAAGGTAGGATGAACGAACATCATTCAAAGTTGAATTAAGATGTGTTGGTATTTGAAAAAAGAAAAAAAATTGGCACATAAATAAAAATAGTGGGAAAATACCTTTCTACCGAGATCCCATAAGTCTAAATCAGAATAGTTTTGGCCCAGTTATTTAAGTTTTTCGTAAATCAATCTTTGAAAAAAGTAAAAAAAAAACAGCATCAAAAATCTCATTATTACGATTCCGTTGAAAAGATGTATAAATATTTTTATGCAGATTTTTTAAGCCTAATCTGTTTTGTCATCTGAGGTGACTTTTTTCGAAAAGTTCTTTAAGAAACTATTTTTATTCATAAAAAAACTCCATTTTTGGAGGTACTTTCAAATCGGACCAGCTCGTTTTAATCTTAATATTTTTCCGAAATATTTCGGTGGACGTCTTAAAATATAATACATTTTGTAATACCGACGGAAAAACCGCAACTTTTTTTGGTGATGCAGTCTTGTGTATATACATAATTTGCCTGTTTGCCTATCCTTTTATTTTTAGTACTTTTTTGCTGATTTTAGTGCCTTTTCCTGGTATTTTATTATACCTTTTTTATAGGTTTTAAGGTTCTTAAAATTGCTTCCCTGGTAAAAAAAAAAATATTAGAACAAAATTTACACGAAGATCGAACTTACATAACAGAGCTGCTGTATTTGTTATATGCGCACTTCCCGGGTTAGTGGCAGCGTTGCTTAGAGAGGGTTGTGTCATGGCCGCGATGGCGGCCAAATTTTGTATCGTCATCGGTGGTAACAGTCCAGCTGCGGCGGCGGCAGCAGTTGCTGTGTCCGTGGTACTCGTTTGGGCGCACAAACCTGCATCAAAGAGAATATTTTGAAATTAATTATTAACCACCTAATTCCAGCGAAGCAACATGTATACGCCCAACAAGTACTCTCAGCCACAAAATGACCATAAACAGTGGTCGCCATTGTGGGTACGCACCTTGCAGCAGTTGTTGTTGCAGTCCAACCGCTTGCAACTGTTGAATCAATTGCAAGGACGCCGGTGTAATAGCCTCGGGCCCCAATACTGGGCTCGCCTGCTGTGGCGGATTCGCAAGTACTGGGGTTGAAACGGTGGTTGAAGTCTGACCTACTGGTATATTTATGTTTGATGCTAAATTCCAAAGATTTGCTTGAATTTGCTGTATTTTCTTCTGCTCCTTCTCCTTCTGCGTATCAGCGAATTTCACAACAAGCGGGGAAGTGCAGCCCTCCATTGTTTTATTTTGATTCAAAGTCTGTGAAAAAACGGAAAACAATTTCGATTAACAAATAATGTTTTTTCTTTAATAAGTGGCTAATCTGATTGAAATTTCGTTAGCTAAACATTACTAAAACAATAGGAATTACCAATTTTATCGCTGATATCGCTGCGTGTTTAGTTGCAAATGTAACAAAGGCACACCCCTTACTTTGGCCGCTCTGATCACGTAACACCGTACACTCCTCGATGGGGCCGTGAACTTCGAATAATTTCCGTACGTCGTTCTCGTTTAGCTTCTTATTCAGCATTCCAACAAACAGCTTCCGTTCTAAAAAGAAAAATTTAAATAACATGCATAAGTATGTATTACATAGGTTGATCAAAATATGCACAGAAATATCAACTTTTCAGAATTTTCGTATTCCCTCCCCTAGAACTGAAGAATATCGAAAATAAGGATATCTTTATGTTATGGGAGCGCCCATGATCTCCGCTGTTTTACAGGACAAAAAATTGCCAGGTACATTGGCTAAATAAGTCCTGAGGTTTTTCGAATACCGTCCAAATGAAGGCATTGATATACCTTCCTTGGAACGATGTGGTCGAATGGTTTCTTGCGAATTCGCCATTTTAACAATTCGTCTGAATATCAAGGCATGCGAGGACATAGATATAGGCTATCTAGATCAAAGATGTACGGCACTCAGAAAGGGAATCGCCTTGTGCGTGTAGAGTGTTATATACGTATGAACATTAGGGTGCCCATGAATTTTTTTTTAACTTCAAGACCCTACCCTTGGGTTGCCAACCGTGCTACAATATATAGTATTGTACTGTTTTTCAGGTCGGCGTACTATAAACTATTGGAAAAAAATATAGTACGCAAAAATACTATATTTCTTCTATCAAAATATAAATATATTTCAGTAATTTGCATGAAAAAATTTTTATTAAAATGGATGACCTTTATTCTGAAATAATAATATTAAATGAAATATTCTTTAAAGTAAAAGGTCATGGTGAGTTTATAAGCAAAAGAGGTTATAATCAAAAAAGGGGAACATAACTGAGAAATAATTAACAAATTTGCTTAAAATAATTTCATTTTCCATCAGTTAAAAATCGTTTTTACTTTTTCTTTTAAATAAAATACTATATATATTTGAAATGTATTTTTTTTTAGTTTTTTTGATAAGTAAGTTGATCTCTCATCGTTTGGGGAATTAGGCGATATAGGGTTTTCTTCCCCGTTGGATTTTGGAGGTTTGAAATTATCCGAGGAGGAGGTATCTTGCTCGATTAATGAACTTAGTAATTCGAAGTAGGCTGATGCTCATGGAATTTCCGCATTTTTCCTCAAACAATGCATTACTTCAATTGCTGAACCACTTACACTTTTGTTTAACATGTCTCTCAAACTGGGCATTTTTTTGGATGAATGGAAATTAGCTTTTGTTACTCCTGTTTTTAAAGCAGGTGATAAATGCCAAATTTCCAACTACAGACCTATTTCTAAACTCACTAACTTTGCTAAATTGTTTGAAAAAGCTGTTAGTACTAAATTGATCTTTGCAATTAAGCCGTTTATATCTATTTCCCAACGTGGTTTTATTCCTGGACGCTCAACTGTTACCTACCTAGCAGTATTCTCAAATTACTGCATCTCTTCTTTTGGCGATGGATGCCAGGTTGATACTATATATACCCATATATCGAAAGCGTTTGATAGAGTTTGTTTTAGGTTATTATTGTGTAAGTTACGCTGTTTTGGCTTTCACTCCAAGTTTCGGGATTGGCTCAAATCCTATCTAGTCAACCGAGTCAATTTTGTATCAGTGGATAGTGTAAAGTCTCATGCATATGTTGCTACTTCGGGCGTTCTCCAAGGCAGCATATTAGGTCCGTTACTTTTCTTAATTTTTTATACTGATGCCAGTGCTTGTTTCAAACAATGTAATCACCTCCTATATGCGGATCATTTGAAAATTTTTAAATATGTAGAAACTATCTCTGGTATACATACCATTCAAAATGAGTTAAATATCTTCATTGAGCACCTAAACTACATTATTCCCACGGCATACTCGTCACTGGATTTCATAAAGAGGAATAGCTCTGAATTGAAAGATCCCTATACCAAAAAAATTTATGCAATGCTATCGTGAGATCGAAACTGGAGTATGCGTCACTCATTTGGAATCCTTATTTTGATAGTCACTCAAAAAGAGTAGAGCGTGTAAAAAGAGTTTTCTAAAATTTGCGTTATACCAGTTGAAGTTTGATTTGCCAATACCGCCATATATTTCTCGCTGTAAGTTAATTGATATGCATACTCTAGCAGGAAGAAGGACTATTTCTGGGCTCATGTTTGTACATGACATTCTTAATGGTAGTATTGAATGTCCTGTATTACTACAATTTAAAAAACCAAATATTCCTGTTCGATCTTTAAGGTATTTTGATATTTTCTCAGTAGAATTCTTTAAAACCAAATATTCGCAAAGTGAGCCTATTTCTAGGATGCTAGGTGAACTCAATGCGTTAATGAACAGAAGTAGAGATATTGATGTTTTCTCCAGTCGCTGTTCTTTTAAGTTGGCCTTGGGGTAAAATTATATTTAGTCCCAAGTCTAATGTTATCTAGTCTGTAAGGTGCTGTAAAACCATAGACTTAAATAAATAAATAAATAAATATCTTAGACTATGTTGGCAACCCTACCCTGCCCACTAGTTTTTATCCCTTTATGAGGAATATTATTGCATTCTTTTATAAAAAATTTTTAAAATCGTTTACGGTTTTGGAGATTTATCAGTTTTTAAATGACTATTTTTCCTTAGATTTTAAAGATAGAATAAATATGTTGTGAAAAGTGGATTTACAGGCCCTCAAAATTATGTATAGTGATATATTGTCAGATTTGGATTGTTGGGATTTTTCATCGGGCAAATTTAAAAAAAAAAAATATTTTTCTTATGTTTTTAGATTTTTACCATCGCTACTCTCACTTACAAAACCATTGAGAACGGGTTCCGAAAAAGTATCGTAAAAGTATTACCTGTCGCTCAGCAGAACTCTCGTTCTCGACATGCGTTTTCAAACAGTTTTTCGAAGTGTTTTCGATAGTGGAACGTATATCAGGCGGAAGTTATTTCGATCCGTTTCGCTACATACATTTATGGTATCTGAATAAAACTAAGGACAGGAATGTAGTGGAGCGATGAAGAGAGCGACGAGCAAAACGTACTTTCAACTAAAATATATACATATATATATATATGATATACAAACCTAAGTACATATGTATGTATGTTAGGGTGTCCCTTATAATACCGATTTTCCTGCCACAAGAAGTTTAAAGTACATATCTGTGCTCGTATGCAATTGTAGCTTATGTCGAAAGGCAGCATTCGCAGCATACGATCGCGGATGACTCACTAGCGCAGTGCCGCTGAAGTACTTTTGGCAAATAAACGTTCAAGAATAAGTTCCTAGTATCGGAAGTCAATATTCTTATTAAGTCTCATAAAAAAAAATCCATGTCGTTTAAAGAATAAAGGTAATGCCACATTATACTAAAGCCAGCTTCCTGACATAACTACTATTCCATGCGAACACATTTTTCAAATATTATACAATATACGAGTAATTTCAAAACGCGTCTTTGGATAAAGTTTCTTTAGTACAAGTTGAAAACTCTCAACGTAAGGCCTTGGATACAATAAGTAATTCCTGGAAATTTGCTTCGCACTTAACTTGGCCCATATATATTCCTGCTTCAAAGCCACACCTCTTTTTGCAACATCGTTAGTTATACTCAAACTTGAAAAAAAAATGCGAGCTTCTGTAAAGTCTTTTCGCAAATTCCAGGTTCCAGGATAAGAGAGTATGAAACTGAATTCCAGTCCAAACCTTTCAAAGAGTTTAATAGTATTCAGAGTAACGAAATCGCTAAAATCTTTTTTTAACCAGTTATTGAGGTCTTGCGATGTTACTTTTACGCGTTGTAACCCGGAACCCTCCATTGTTCTTGAAGAGGCAGATTCACTCCGGGAGGTCTTTGTCAATTGTCAAAATCTTTTTCACCATTTTACTTTTAACTGAAAGGTGCACACCATCATCTAAGAGTGCTAATCCGGTTAGCTTCTGACTTGTACCATAAATGTCCACTGAATTTCTTTAAGGCCGTATTGGAAATTAAGTTATCAGTCTTCTCATAGAGTTTAAAATCTAAGAAAAAACAAGTAAGAAAGACTAAGTTCGGGCGGAGCCGAACATTAAATACCCGGCGCAAGTATTAAATATATGTTTTCCACCTTTCCGAAAGCTACCGCTACATGATAAGCCGGGGTGTATACATTTTAAGTAAATTAGCGTCCTTAAATTTCGAAATATTGAAATTTCAAGCATATCTGAAATTTACCGTTATATGAAGAGCGGCCTCAATTTTAGTCCGATTTCAGCAATTTTCAACGGTTTGCTTTTATGTGGCAAGCACAATAACCATACCGAGCTTGGTGCAAATTGCTAGAACGGTTAGCGAGATACATATATGTGATCACAAGTGGGCGGTGCTACGCCCATTTTCCAAAATTTTGTCATAAACGTATTTCTTGGTAAAGAATTGTTGCAATCATCAATTTTGAATAAATTAGCTTCAATATTTACTGATTTATCGAAGATTTTGTATTTCTCGAAATTACCGTTATATGGGATGTGGGCGTGGTTAATATCCGATTTTAGAAATTTTCGGCCAGTTGGTATGCTGTACCAGGCCCAACAACTGTGCCCAGTTTGGAAGAAATTGGTGTAGCGGTTACCAAGATATACACATGTAACCATAAGTGGGCGTGGCTACGCCCATTTGCCAAAATTTTATAATATTCTTATTTTTCGTCTAAAACTCATTGCAAATATCAATTTTGAGTGAATTATCTTCAGTAGTTACTAAAATATCGCAGTTTTCGTTTTTCTGAAAATTACCGTTATATGGGAGGTAGGCGTGGTTATTATCCGATTTTAAAAATTTTCGGCCGTTTGGTATGCTGTGCCAAGGCCAACAACCATGCCAAGTTTGGAAGAAATTGGTGCAGCGGTTACCAAGATATACACATGTAACCATAAGTGGGCGTGGCTACGCCCATTTTCCAAAAATTTATAATATTCATGTTTTGCGTCTGAAACTCATTGTAAGTGTCTATTTTGAGTGGATTATCTTCAGTAGTTACTAAAATATCTCAGTTTTCGTATTTCTTAAAATTACCGTTATATGGGAGGTAGGCGTGGTTATTATCCGATTTCGCCCATTTTCAATACCATCCGTCCCACGC